CCGGGCTGCGGGGGGACCCGCCACCCTGACATCTGCAGGTGGGCTGGGCGAGCCGGCGGCAGGAGCCTCCCCAGGAGCCAGCAGCACCCTGGCCCCACTGCCCGTCGCAGCCCGCTTCCCTCCCGCTCCCCCCCAGACCCTATTTGGCCCTCACTCCATCCCTCCTCCGCTCTCCCTGCTGGGGTGCCTGCACCCCTCCTCACCTCGCCGGTACAAACCCCTCCACTCTACTCCCCTCCCCGCCCCTCCCCACCTTTGATTTATTTGTGTATTTCTTTCCTTGGCAACCACCAGTTCCTCTCAGTCAAACAGCGCAGGCTCCCTATAATTTGAAATTAATTTGTTTGACTGCAGCATTGAGACAGGAAGGTTGGGAATTTATTTAATTCTTTTTCCTCCCCCTGTGCAAAAAGGAAGCGATGAAATTTCCAATCGAGACTCCAAGAAAACAGGTGAACTGGGATCCTCAAGGTTGGTGTTTCTCTATTACTATCATTACTATAATAACAATTATTATTATTTCTTGTGTCTAGTGACTCGTAGGAGACTATTTGACTCCAAATGGGAGGAGACGTTGGATGCTTGTCTGCTCCCCATGTGCACTGCTCAGTCTTTCTTGCTCAGTCCTCACAGTGTGTTAGCAAATGCTCCTCACATGTAGGGTTGGGTGGGTGCGTGGGTGAAACCTCTTCTAGGTGTAAGTTTTATAGTTCTATATTTGATATCTTGCTTCCCTCCTCTCCCCTCCCTTTTTCTTGAGTATTTTCATGACAAACTTGCCTGGGATGGGAGTGATCTCTGGCTCACAGCATTGTTTGTTTTATCTGTGGCTCCTTTGTTGTTTCTAGTGATCATTGTCTCTGCTAAATGGGTGATACAGGAGTGGACACAGATGTGGCTGCTTGTTCAGGGCTCCTCCATAGCAAATGTTTGTTGGCAAGCAACTGGAGCAAAATGCTGCTGCATTATAAGCCATAGTGTGGACGGTCTAAACAGACATATTAAATAATGGAGACCAAAGGGACCGTTAGACTCTTTGCTCTGTCCTGTTAACAATTGATCAGCCCAAGTAGATAGTTTTATTAACTCTATGGCTAGGTTTGGAGTTTGTCTTGGGGAGTGTGTTTGTGTGATGGGGGAAGGAGATTTACGCCAGTGCAGTGGTTTTCAATAAAATGATCCAAGTGGTGTTTTAAAATAAACCATAATGAAATGATCTCCTTTCCTGACATGGGGAGGAGGTTCATCTGCAACCTACAGAAGTGACTGAAAAAAACCCCTACTGGTAATTTGTATACTGGTGTGTCATATTTCTGTGCAGTGGTACAGGAGCAGAACAACTTGAAGCCATATGCTCAGGTTTGCAGCAGAACTGCTGGCAGCCAGTCACTGTACAGCAGTGCTTGCAGGAAGTATGAAGTGATAACACAGGCTTTGATTATTCATCTTTATTCTGCAGGTTTGGTTTTAGTGGTCAATTTGTCTGTCATCCTCCATGCCCTCACATCTACAAAATGAAACACTGGAAACAGTTTCTCCTGGTGTAGAAGGAATACAGCAGAACAGACATCTTTCTGCTGAGCAGATCTGATGTGCTGTTTGAATAGTATACACAATTAAGCTTTAGTTTAAGCCTTACTACATCTTTAATTAGGTGAAGGATGAAATCGACACATCAGCCTCCTCTGTCTTCAGCTTTACAACAAGCACATGGATGGTTCTAACAGAGATTTGATTATTTTAATAACAGTATATTCCTTATCCTAGGGACAAAATTCTATGCTATGAAAACTTGCTCTTCCCAGGTGCTTTTCTGAATGTGTGTTTGCTGTTGCTTCATTTTAATACATTTTATGTGATGCAAAATGCCTTTTAATGCAAAATGCCCTTTCCTCCCTTTCCCTGACAAGGCACACAGGAGGCTGTACTGATGGCATTCTGTATGTGTCCCCTTTGCTTGGCAATCAGCTTTAAAGCATATGGATCCAACAGGTGGTTGGTCACAATTTACTACTGTGTCCAAAACTGTAGAGTACCATAACAGGTAAAAGGCCTCAAACCCAGCAGGTTTCCTCTCTGCCAAACTGAATCCCTGCTAAGGACTGCAGAATCCTACCAGTTATTTCCCCTCAGTGTATTGACTTCATTAGCCAGGCAGCAAGGATGCTAATGTATAGACAGGAAGGAAGCAAAAAATGTTAATTTGTAATTCTCCAAGGGACTCAGGAAGTAGATAAAATTTGATGGAATGGAAAAAGGCAAATTGGTAAGGAAAAGTTGTCTAAGGCCCAATCTTTTAACCAATAGAAGAATAATGCAATGACACTGTATTCACAGAGTCCCACTGAAGAATTAGTGATGTGGGTAGAAGACAAGGTAAATCAGAGTTCTGTTCTTTTTGAAATGAAAATGTATTTATGTAGATATGAATGTTAGCAAATATCTACACAAAATCACTTAAAGCCCTAAAATTAATTTGCAATCACATATGTAGTCTGTTCTCTGCATGTACGTGTGAAGAATGAAGTGTTTTGCATCCTATGTGCATCCTTGGAGTTAAGAACTAAAGTAGCTTTTCTCAGATACAAAGATCAACATGGAGAAGGCTGGTGATGCAAGGGTATGAAGAGTCCTAAGTAATAAAACCAGAGCTCACATCCAGTTAATGTTCACTCTGAAATACCAGGCTCATTTCAGTGTGTATTGTATGATCATGCCCTGTTCTGGTCATCAGACAGAGAACGTGCAGTTTCCACAGTTTTGTCTAGCAGGAATTGTGCTAACTTGTGCTAACAGTACTTGAAATATATCATCAACTGATGTTCCTGGCAAGCAATCTAGCAGTCCAACACTGTAAGTGACAGCTATGGTATCTCAAAGATTGTTTAAATCTGATTATTCCAGGCAATATTTTTCTATAAACTATACACATTTCTAAAGGCCAGGGCCCTTGCTGTGGAGATATGGCTGACTGGGGACTGATGATGTTGCTGGTTTGAACCCAGGTCAGAATGAAATTAATTAATGCTCAAAGTATGCTCAAAGTCCATAATGCTGACTGAAATATAAATATTTACATAGATAAATAGATTAGAATCTTCTGGTAGCTTTCATCTGGCCTAAAACTGATATTTTCAGTTCACATCAGCAAATACTAATATACCATAGAAAGACTTCATGGAGAGAACAGGTTTAAAATAATAGAATTGTTGTGAGGGATGGTGTCTGAAACAGATAGTTAATTTCATAAACCTGGAAGTATAGAGGTTCCAGATTCCTCCTAATGAAGTGCCCTATCATCCCAGGCAATAAATCTATATAATCCCATTAACAAACAGATCAAACTCCAGCCCAAAAGTCACTGGGACTTGTCCCTAACAACCCAATGTTGAATATGTCCTAAAATCTCATGTATATTGATTAAAACCCATACCATTTATATACAATCAGTGAATAGGGTAAAAAAACGAGTAAGAAACACAAGCAGGCACCTCAAGAATGTTTTAGGGATGGTTGGACACACTGAGTAGAGATACAGGGTCTTACACTACTTGGTCTTACATTTTAAAAAACAGGCCTCGTCTTATTGGTGGAATCAGCCTGGATATACACAGTCATAAAACTTTTGATCTGTCTATCACTGATCTTTACTTCTCCCATTTGGTGCAATTCAGGTAACAACATAACTGAAATTGGTGAAAGACCAGATTTTCAGTTTCATACCTCATACAACTTCCCATCTATCCTCTTCAGAATATGACTGGCTTTATGGCAGCATATGAAGACATTAATTCTTGTAATTGTTTTTCTTATCTCTCCTCTTTCCTGCATTCCTCTTGTTGTTTGATACACCCACCTGTTGTCTGTGCTTAAATTGGCTTATAATGTCTTTGCACTTACATTTTTATACAGTGTCTAAACCACAGTGGGTCTTTCATCCTGACTGAGACATCTGGATGTTACAGCAATATCATTTTTTTCCCCGCTATAAATTATCTGCTTAAAACTGCTGTCTCTTTGTAGAAAAGAAGGGTAGATGAGACTGTTTCCAATATGCTCAGAAATTATCCCAAACATGACTGTCTTGCAAGGTAATGGTGAAATGTCTTTTCCAAAGGAAGTATGTCTATTTTGGTGATGCTCTTAGTAGGCAGAAAATGGAGTTCAGTCTTGTTCCATCCTTTGTACCTGCATTTTTTTGCTGTCATTGCGGTGATACGGATTGACAAAGCCTTTTGAATTTCCAGGCAGACATTTATCTCCATACTGACCTTTTGGAACTCTGAAGTTTTGATACAAGTTCCTGTGTCCTTTTACAAAGACATTGTTTGTGTAAGATGGCTTTGTGCAGTTTGGAACCCTAAAATCATGCATTTATTATAATCCTTACATTTAGCATGGGAGTTAGTGGTCTGTGGGGAATTCAAACTGTGGTTGAGAGTCTGGAGTTCCTCTTCAGGTTTTGCCGCTGTTTGCCCTTCAGTAAGCCACTTACCCTTTCTTTTCCTCCTTTTTTCCTTGACTGCAAAACAGGAATATTAATACTTCACTAATGCACAAGGGTGTTGTGAAATATGATTAACTTGTTTAGAGCAATCTAAGATCTGCTATTGAAAGAAGACCATACGTATTGCAATCAAATGCTAAAACGATTAGGAGGGAGCAAAACTGTCTGTCATCATACACAGATCACATCAATTAAGAAATAAGGTTATCTCTGCACTTTACAACTAGAGGAAACTAGTATTACTTGAGCTTCTTTACAGACACTGAAAACTCAATTGAGTTTCCTATTAGAGGTATCTAGAGACCGTTGATACTCTCCAGCTGCTGCTCTAGGGGGGCTCAAGTCTTCCATACATTCTGTGTCACCTACCATGGGATTTCTCACTTCACCTGAAACACCTCAAGCAGCAGTGGATGCCTACATGTGGGAAACTGAGCCGAGTCTCAAATGCCTTCATGCAGGTATCAGGATTGGTCATGCCTTGATGACTGTTGCAAACATTTTCAGCATCAGCTACTCTTATAAACTGATGCTGTCTGCAGAGTGTTAAAAACTGCTGCAGTTCCTGCTTTTGCTGTCCTTTCAGAGACCAGTGCAGGAGGCAAACTTAAAGGCATAGATGAGTAGAATGAGGGTGTTCCTTTCTGTCCTCTGTTTTCAAGAAAGTATATGAAAAGAAGTGGAGTGAAACTGTGAGCCAGACTATCTTTCTGCCCTAATAAGTCAGTTCTTAGTAGCTCAGTATAAGAAGACTGCTATGGAAAGCTATAATGCTCAAAAAAGTAGCTTTGATCCCAGCAAATGATCCATGGTCAGCAGGGTACTGACTATGTGCTACTTATATCACAAAATTGTATTGGCTACTGACCCATCTGACAGACTTGGACTCTGCTGGCTTGCAGACTCTAAGCATGGGTTGCACAACAACTGCAAGGGGTTTATTTTAAAGAGAGATGTGAAAGAG